GGTTCTAAGATGATGAAAACTTGGTTTCTTGGTTTGGAGGTTTAGGGTCATGGTTTCACGGGACATCCCAGTTAACTGGCCTAATATCATGTTTACTGCTTCTGTTCTATCTCTCAGTTCATTATGTAGTGCCTGGGGTCTTAAAAGCTTGCAAGCAGCCATCCATGGTATAACAGTTGGTCTCTACTCGCCTGCAGCAACAGAGGAAGAAAGAGAGCTAGGAATAGGAGGAAATGGAATGTGTGGCTAATTGCCTCCATGAACAACTAACTCTCTTTTGCCATGAGACCAGAAGAACTGGGTGGTGCCCGCCAGTCATTTTTGAACGTTTTGATCAAACATTCCATAGAAGAATCTTGATCAAAAAGTGGAAATGCAGAACAGAATTTCAAATTCCCATGGAATCCAGACCTTCTGGAGCCAAAAAGATTAGATGAACTCCTAAAACTACTGCCCTGAAATAATCCTTAAACCTTAAACCAAAAATATCCTGAAAGTCTTCTTAAAACTAAACAACAGTTTAGCTTAAGTAGTAAAGAATGTTTGCCTTGAGCATCGTGCTCTTTGAAGAACTACTTATATGGGAACAAACCGACAACAAGAACTCGGAGTTTATGTTAATGGGGGAAGAACATTGCGGAGAAGGAGGGTGAGAATGGATGCACAATTTGAAAAATGTAATCAGTGTCGATGAACTATACATGTAGAAACTGTTAGACTGGTGTGTGTTCTGTTGTGTATATTCTCAACAACAAAAAAATAAAATAAATTAAAAAAAAAGATGACAAAAACTTGAGAGAAATCTGAACATCCTGACAACAGAGCATCTTGATAATTAATTGATCAATATTTATTAAGGGCTAATACAAGAATGAAGGTGATGGTGGATCAGTGGAAGAGTTCTTGCCTTCCACATGGAAGACTGGGGTTCGATTCCCAGCCAATGCACCTCAAGCACAGCCACCACCTGTCTGTCAGCAGAGGCTTGCGTGTTGCTATGATGCTGAACAGGTTTCAGTGGAGCTTCCAGACTAAGACAGACTAGAAAGAAAGGCCTGGTGATCTACTTCCAAATTTCAGCCAATGAAAACTCTATGGATCATTATGGAGATGGTGCACGACAGGGCAGCATTTTGTTCCACTGTGCATGGGGTATAGTTTCGACCCAGGTAGGCGAGCCTC